CATTATAACTCATTTGACCCCATGGCTAAGAATCACCAGAGAAGGTCTATGAAGATGATTACACTCACTTCAACCTGCTAAATTAAACCCTTCATGGGTGAGGCTCAGCTCCGTGGTGGCACAATGGTTAAATATTCAGTTGCTATCTGAAAGGTCGGTGGTTCAAGCCTACCAGCTGCTCTGTGGAAGAAAAGACTTAGTGATCTGTTCTCATAGAGATTATAGCCTAGGAAAGCCTATGGGAACATTTCAACTATCATATAGTGTCACTATGAGTTGGAATTGACTCGATGGCACATAACAACAACAACGTGGCTAAGGCTCAGACATGTGGGTCTTTCCAAAACTCCCCAATAATTCTGGTATTGAGCCCCAGTTGAGAATCATTGCTTTAAACCCATCAATCCACCCAAAAAGGAAACTGAATCCAATGTTAGTAGTGCAAACTCTGATAAAATATAATTAAAGACACAACTGATGCTTTAAAAAAGACTATGAGGAACAATGAAAATTGGCTTTCTGCAAGAGTGCACAGAAGCATTCTGCTTACAAAGAATGATCTAGAATTCTGATGAAAATGACAGGAATCCATTCATTTATTCTTTGAAAACCTACGATGGTTTAGGCAATATAGAAGAAATGAAGGATGAAACAATTAATAGAAAAGAGTCTCTGTCTTTAAGAATGGAGGATAATAGATAATTGCTTCAGTGTGTTGAATGGGATATGAAGAAATCACGAGTTTATTTTTTATCTTCCACTGTTCTTTAAACTTGCTCAGTGAGATGAGTTTTCCCTCTGCCTGTGTTTAAAAGCCGGCACTCAATAACTCTTAAATAAGAGATAACCCTATAGTTTGTTTAAGTAGGAAACCACAGTCATAACTCAGTATTTTGAATGTTCAATACTGTGCAATAATCATATCCCTGAACTTGATTTAGAGTTAAATCTCCTCTTTTTAAGTTAGAGGCAGCTTCAGGGTCTTCCCTTCTGTCTTCTAGAAACATGTGGTTAACCTTCCATCTCTTTCTCTACTTCTTGTTTAGCTTGTCAATCATTCAACCATTCGTTGAAGGGGTTTATGGGTATAGAAAGGAAGGAGGGAAAGGGGGTTTCTGATCATTCCTACTTGGCTAGGCATGTTGTAAAATAGTTCCATATGCTCTGGGCCTGGCTGTTATGAGAATTGACTCTTTCTCAATGTAGGCACTTTTTTGAGTTCCCCTCCCCCAGAAATTGTCCTGCTGGCCCCTCCTGACTTTGACTACCATAATATAGGCAGTCAATCTCCTTTGACTGGCCAATTTTGATACTTGCTCAGCTTCTCTTTCCAGTGGTCTCTGTGAGATCCCTCTTTCTGCTCAAAGCTATCTTGAGCAGGATCCAGGGCTTCAGATTACTCATAGGGGTGTTACATTCTGAAAGGGGTCTCCTTGAAGCCCTTCCCACTACACTTGGTATGAGAAGGTAGAACTCCCACCTCTCCTTTTTGGTGTGGTTTGGACTTAAAGCAAAGAGCTTCTTTGACAAATCTACTCCTTAAAAAATCTCTTCCCACTCTTGTGATGTCCTCAAAACTGGTGAGAAACTTTAACAGAAAAGAAACTGGCTTTCTGGTCATTCAAGTATCCCATTCTTGTCTATCTCAGAAGTCACCTTGGCAATGAATATCTACTATATCTTGGCACCTCAGTCAAAACCTGTAATTTACCATGCTGTCACAATTGCAATATCAAGTGGTAAGTGCAGTAAGAGCCTATGCACATGTCATTAGGAGAACACAGAAAAGGGTCTCAGCTAGAGGATGAGTGGTTTAGGAAATTCCTGGAGAAAGTGACACCTTGTTAGACTCTAAATGTGTGTGTTGGAGTTAGTGTTGTGATGCTTTTAGGGGAGGACTTTTTGGAAAAGGGTTATGGATTGAATTGTAGCCCCCCAAAATATGTGTTGAAAATCCTAATCTCTATGCCTGTGGTTGGGAGCTCTGGTGGTGTAGTGCCTAAGGCATTTGACTGTTAATCAGAAGGCTGGTGGGTCAAACCCACCAGCCACTCCTTGGAAGAAAGACTGGGCAATCTACATACGGCTTTGGAGGAGTTGCTATGAGTCAGATCCAATTTGACAATCTCATTTGGGAATAAATTGTCTTTGTTATGTTAATGAGACGGGATAAGTGTAGCCTGTGAAATTGAGAAGAGATTAAACAACCAAGTGAGAGAAACACAGGAGAGGGGGAACAGAGGTGACAAGCCACATGAAGACTGCCTTGGAGCAGAAGCTCAAAGAGACAAGAACCTTCCTCCAGTGCCAGCAGAGAAAGATGTTCCCTCGAGCCAACATCATAAATTTGGACTTCTAGACTCCTAAATTATGAGAAATAAATTTCTGTTTGCTAAAGTCACTCACTTGTGATATTTCTGTTATAGCAGCACTAGATAATTAAGACAAAGGGGTGCAGGGGAAGATAAGCCTATACCAACAAATTACTTTATGGATTTTAGTGGGTTAATTTCCCCATGTAGTTTCTAAATTTCCTATGAATACATGAACATAAATGTCATTTTAAAATCAGAAACTCTTTACTATTATCGATTAATCCTGGGGGATTTTTTAAAATTTCACTTATACTAAGAATAAGCAGTTCAATTTTCTAAAGGAGAGTGTGAGAATGATCATTTGTGGATTTAAAATACATATTGATAAAAACTGACCTTGGGAGTCAAGAGGTATGAGTACTTTGAAATGATGATCTCATTTAAAAAGTACTTCAAATAGGATTTAATGGACTGTAAAACAGTTTCAAATTAATGAATAGATCTAGTAAAAAGCTTTGCACTGATAGGGAATATGAAAGATCAATTGAAATATACTTATCTTAATCGTTTAAACATCTTGCTTATTAATATGTCAATTATTTTGGAAGTTTTGGGGAGGGAGTAAAGGCAAAGAGGTATGTATGTCTTTTAGGATCCTTACTATAACAGAGTAAGTCATTTACCAAGTGCTCACACACACACGGCCCATGATGGATCATATAACCAAAATGCAAGCATCATCTGGGCTTTGAGAACATTTCTGACTACATGATTTATAGCCACACTTATATGCCTGATACTGGACCTTTATTTGATCTGTCAAAACCTTGAAGTCATTACCCAAAAAGAAAAGCAGAAGACATCTAGTTAATCAACTTAATTTTTAATTACATATTGTGTACTGACCTTGTATCGAGACATATTGGAGGATATGAAAGGAAGAACAGACAAGATTCCTAGCCTCAAAAAAATTAAAATCAGCTGGAGACACACTACACAAGACAGCAAGTCTTAAGGGTATACAGTAAGTCACATTTTTGCAGAGAAAACCCACACAAGGGGACCCTATTAGCAATTATGGCAGGATGGAGAGGAGGGTGATTGAGGAATACATCCTGGGAAATGGGAAAGGCAATGGACCTGTGTTCTAATCAACACAAGACCTGTGGCTTATTGTGGATCTTGGCGAAATAAGTTCCACCTCTCTAGTTTTCAGTTTGCTCAAGTCTAAAATAGAAGACCATGGACTAGATGGTCTCCAAGGTCTTCCAACTATCACACTCCAGGATTCTAAGAACAAATGCAGAGAACTTGAAAAGTTGAGGATATTAGTGAGAAGAGAAAAGACAAGCACAAAGTCAAAAAGGTGGGGGGGAAAGATAGTTGTTTGTGCATGGGGCAAGGTGTGTTGTGAATAGCAAGGACATTAAACAAGCCTGTTAAAGTACTGTAATGATTTAGGGGGCAGTAAATTTGGAAATTAGCATTACTGGTGGCTCAGTGGTTAAAGCGCTTGGTTGCTAACCAAAAGGTGAGTGGGTCAAATCTACCAGCTGCTCCACAGTAGAAAGATGTGGCAGTTTGCTTCCAAAAAGATTTACAGCCTTGGAAAAGCTACAGGGCAGTTCTACTCTGTCCTAGAGGGTTGCTATGAGTCAGAATCAAGTTGACCACAGTGGATTTTGGGTAAACTTGGAAATGAGTGAGACAAAGTTCATGCTAGGCCTTAAAAGCCAGGCAAAGGACAATAACCAGGAATCAAAACGGAGAAAGGGATAATAAGTTTCCTGTGGTCAGAGGGCTGACTTATCTTCATGCTTCCCATATCACTCCACATTCTCTATGTCTTTGTGGAAATTTATTGCAACCCTTTCCCCAAACCCACACACCAAAAAGTGCAACAAGAGTGTGTGGTTAGAGGCCCTCTCTTCAGATCCGCACAAATAGCCCCTTCTTGAAGGCTAGGAAGCAAAGAGCAGTTGTTGAACAGATAGTGGTCAATCCAATCATTCTCAGCAGGCCTGGCACAGAGGGCAGGTGCCTCTCGAAGAAGGTCGTGGTAATGGGCCACGCAGGCACATCCTAGGTTCAGAGAATATTTGGCATTAGTACGGGGTTTTTGTACTTTGTTCCAGAGTCTCTTTCCATACTTTAGTTTTCCAAATATGACTCACTCTTGCCAACCTCTCAGCCATTAAACATAACCTTCCCTTTGCTTATTACATTCACTATTTATGCCCCACCTGGCCCTTGACTTGATTAATCCAGATTCATCTTTCAGATCTCAGTTTCAACCTCACTTCCTCATGGAGCCTTTCCTGAACCCCCAGACTAGGATGGCCCCCTCTTTTTACATGCTTCTGCAGCAGGCTTTCTTCATCTTACTTGTACCTTTCGGTTATCATCTGTATTCCCCATCAGATGTTAAGCTCTGTAAAACACTACTGTACCTTTCTGCAATGGCTAAGGCAGAATAGATGCTCAATAAATATTTGTTGAGTGAATGTATCTATGGTCCACCAAGCCCCCAATTCCATCTTTACCAGAAGTTCTAAGAAAACAATTTTGCCCTTAAAAGGATAGACACATATGCCTAATATTTTTGAACTTTGTCATGTATAATATTTCCACCCTGTGTTCTATGTATCCTTTCTTTTAGCCAGTGAGACTTCCTGGGATTTTATTTCAATGATAGGTATGCTGAACATGTGTTTTTTAATCTAAATATGCTCCATTCTTTTTTCTTTTCTTTTCTTTTTTTATATTGTGATTTGGGTGAAGATTTACAGAGCAAATTCACTTTCCATACAGCAGCTCACATATACTTTGTTTCATGTCATTGACCACGGTTTACCACAATGCAACAGCTCCCCTCCCACTTCCTCTCCATAATTACCTCTTCCCAGTGTCCATCCTTCCATACACTCCTGCCCCC